CCCCCCCAGCCCGCACCCGCCGCCAGACAGGCTTAACGCCTGGGTTCGTAACGCAGGAGAAGGGCATGGTTATCCCTGCGGGTAGGCAGGGAAGGGAGCGGGGAGGGGGGGACCCGAAGCCCAGGTTGCCAGGGGTGCGGTAGGTGGCTGAGGACCCGCGTCCTGACCAAGTTGTTGGGGGTCAGGCGAGGGGACGGCAGAGGAACAAGCGGGTCCGGCGCTTCGGACCGGCCGGAGCCTCGGAGCGGCACCGCCCGACGGCAGATGCGGCTGGATTCGCGTCTGCAGGGAAAACCCAGAGCCACGAACTGCCCTCCTTGGAAGCAGAAATCTGCCGCTCTCTTCAACCCGTGGTTTCTCCTTTGCAAAAAAATCCTTCCGGTTCGGTAGTAAGCACCAAAAACAGAGCGGTTACGTCTCAAACCCCTTCTTTCTCCAAAAGGGTTTTTTCTTTCTTACCTTAGCCACAACAGGCAACGAAAGAGGAACATGTTGCTACCTTTGTATAGGAACCTTACTCAAAAAAATTCGGAAAATGAAGAGAAAAGACATCACAGGGAGGTTAAAAACCTCCTAGAAGAACAAATAAGCTCACTAAATTGTCAAGACAAATTTCCTAGGGTTCAGCATTAGTGAAGCTGCTTTTGTGCCATCCATAATTTTTCATAATGTCAGTTAAAGCAGATACAGCGCTAAGCTAACCTTGACTAGCTAACTGAAGTACTTGGTTTTCTTTCTCCCTCTCTTTTTTTTTTCCTTTTTAACTGCTTCTCAGCAAGTTCTCATGCTCCCCTTCTTATTATCCTGTCCTTTAATCATCATTCATCCCCAGAGGAGGGTGAAAATAGACAAGAAAATGAATCCTGTGCTCTTTGGTAATAGAGATCTCTAATGAAAGTCACTGTAAATTTTCTTTTTTCAAGATTTTTTTCTTTTTTTCTTCTGTTCTTAAAGCACAACACAGGTGAGATATACTGCATGATACTTACCTTCTGAAAATGTAGCATGCTCCTGTTTTTCAGTAGAAACCCTGGGCTGAGGGGAACATTGCCTGCATAAGAAGTCACTGAGTATATTTGATTTTATTTGTAACAATTTCCAGAGGCTCCCCCAAAATGGCTTTCTACCACAGCCATCCTGGATTATTCCAGGAGAAATCACAACTCCGGAGTACAAAAACAGCACAATTTTTGAGACATACTGGAGAGAAACGCTGAGGTACACATTGCAGAGAAGAGAGCAGTCTGCTCAATCGTCTGCTTATCAGCTCATCGAGCGAACTCTTCAGTTAATTTTTGCTAGGGAGCAGCCTTTCCTGGGGAAGAGGCTGAATTCACTGTTGGAAGACCCTAATGCTGCTCATATGGGTGAGGGTTTAAAACTTTCATTTGAATCTGACATTAAAAAAAGCCTTTTATCTTCCTGCTCACAGCAGCCTGTAAGAATCTCACAGTCCTTATTTGTCTGGCAATTCAAGTATCTGTTTCAGAAGTCAGAGCTTCTCTCCTGTCTCATCTCTAAGTTTGTGTGATCGGTTCAGGGTTGACAATGAGGTCTGGCTCAGCCAAGAACATACTAGTGGAGTAAAGCCCCTTCAACAGCTACGCAGGTTTCAAACACCAGCATTTCATGCAGGGCACCCTGTGGTACTCATTTGTCACTTCAGCTAATCTGTAAGCTTTTAAAACTTTCATGACTTAATAGTCATACCCAGGTGAGGAACAAAAGTGAAATCCATTAAACCCCTACTATTATTTAGGTAAATTTAGTGGTGGGATTAGGCAGCCGATTGACATGACTCTAGGAGCCAGTTATACAAAGTATAGGGTGAATTTTCCTTTTGCTGCTCTCTGCTAACCTGCCTCCAGCCAGTGCGAGAAGGATCAGCTCTTGTCCAGGTTGGGACTTGCCTAAAACTGCCAGCAACAGGATGACATTGCAGGCGTTTCCTGGAGATTTAGAAACAAGCACAGAGCTTGTTTAATTCTCCCTGGATACCCACATAAAACAGCTGCTTAATTTTATTTAATGCTTTTCAATCACTACTGGCTGATGCTGGAATCAAAGCAATGCCCAAAGGAAAAAGGAAAGCCCTGTGAAGCACCTGCTTCTCCCAGGAGACTCAGGTTGGAGAAAGTCCTATTTGGTCCGTATGAAGATTTAAAAATATAAATGCTGAGTAGCACCTTGATCCAAATGTTCTTCATCCAAACAGTAATTAGCTACTGGAAGATTAAGTCAGAGTTGAACAAAGTCCAGATCTTGCATTCAGAGATAAACATGCTTTAATCTACAAAATAGTGCACATACTAGAGCTGGAGAAAGGCAGCTTAATTTACAAAATAATATTACATTATGTGGATACAAATTGTAGTTGCATCACTCTTGGGATGACTTTTTGAGTCTGCATGCATGGGATTCATTAAACATGAAATCAGCTGAGGCATGTTAACAGAAATAATGTCTAAAAGAGCTGTCAGGTTTCTAAATAACTGGTTATACTAATAAGCCAAGATAACTTTAGCCTCAATGTAACCTTCTCAGAAAAATCAAGGGTTCCTGGAAATTGAACAACAGCTATGAAGTCTCTTAAAGATCAGTGAAGCACACTGGTTAAATTGACATTACAATGTTGGGCATTCCACATGGAAAACTGCAGTAGTGAGTACAAAAGCACAGAGCAAAGAGTAGCAGCAGAAAAAAATATTACTTTGCTGCTAAAAAAAAAAACATGTCCAAGAATCTCAAGCTCACTCTTGAATGATAAAGATCCACCAGCAGGGAAAAAGGATCAGTGAGAGAAATGATTTCTAGTCCCCAAACACTGACGACAAGAAGCCTAAATATTCAGTATTGAGTGTGGGTGCTTTTTTTTTTTTTTTTTTTGGCTGTAAATTATAGGCATGTCCATCTGCAGCTGGACCTTAGAGTCTGGGGGATTCTGTAGGACTGATCTAAAAAAGCACATCAGTGCCCTTGTGAATATTGACTTTTGAACTATTTTCAATGGCAACCAGTGCACAAAGCATCCCTGGGTTTCAGGTCACTGGTGAAGCATGTGCAAAATTCTGGACACTGACAAGGAGAAGGAAAATGAAAAAAGCCCAAACAGAAACACCATGTATGCAAGTCTGAATTTAAATTACTCATTCGAGGCAGCTATGGGAAGGATATGTTGGGCAGTGCTACTGGTTCCCAGGATCTGGAGTTCATGCAGTGGTTGTGGGGTGCTCATGAGGCAGGACCAGGCACTGGTGCTCCTCTGGCATCTCCCCTCCCCATTACATTGATGCTTGACTGTTGGAGCACAGCCCTGGTCCCAGCCAGGAGAGCCCATCTCCATG